TACATGGCATTGACTTGGGGCAGTAAGATGCTGGCCCACAGCTTTTTTCTCCTAGACACTCTGTCGAAGAGTCGCCGAAGCATGCCTGATGTCTGCGTAGCTGTCGGTGCTAAGAATTGCTGACGGCGGCGTCGAAGGTTTTCTTTGCTCAGGCCGTGACCCCCATCCGAAAATACGTAAAAACTCTTGGCTGAAGAAAACCGCGTGTTGCCACAAAAGTTTCCAAATATCACGGATAATCGACAGTGTCGAAAGGCGTTCTCCATTGTGTTGCTTGGTAAAATCGATTCACTTGGGCTAATAAACTTAGGTTTCGGTTTCGAGAGGCCTCACTGAGGTAAGTTTATGTCAATCCCTGTCAAGACGATGCCTTATTCATAAATTGATTGACTGCAGCACTTCTTTTTCCAACAACTGAAGCATGGCTATTTTTCTGTTTCATGTATGTTCTTCGAGTTCCATCCTCACTGACGAAAGTCAATCAATTACTTGTTGCCGAATCTGTGACGTGTTGGCATAGGCACAGGTGTCTGAGACGTATGCTTCGAACTTCAGAGTTGCCGGCTTCGATTCCGCCCAAGGACAATCTTCGTCCTATTCACGAATTCCCTTGAGCAAGGAATTTACCACACGTTGATTTAGACCGAGGTTGATCCGTTGGTATAGCGTCGAACTCAGAAGCGATAGGTGCTGAGTTAATGTCTCGGTCAGGTTCATTCGCCCTCCATCCTTCCGAGGTAGATTAATGAACACCACACAGTACGGTGGAAACAGGGGACGGCGGAGGAAGTCAGTAGTTTCAGATATCTAGGTTCAGAAGACACAAATGAAAGGAGCTGCAACGCAGATATGAGACGGTGCAAAGGGTTCATCAGAGAGAATTTAACAAAGCCGATCAGAGTTTAGAAAGACTGGACAATAAGGCGAAGAGGAAAGTTACCATATTAAAATTAGAGACCTTTTCGTTCCTTTTATGAACTCGAAACAGCTGCAGTTCATAACCGCCTAGAAGACCAACTGAATCTGTTTCAAAACGCTGCCTGCGGAACATCCTCAAGGTCTTGTGGTATCATCGACCAAATAACGATCGCCGGAATAAAGGAGCTCTCCAAGCACTGATCGTACGGGGCGTTCAATGGTTTGATAAAAACGCTCAGATGGCAAGACAGGAGTTCCTATACGAGTTGATTATGGAGTGCAGTAAACGAGGTCACCGTCTTATAGCCTGCTGACATACTGAACCCGCTTTCGACTAGGAATTTGTTGTTCATCGAAGAGAACAATTTTTAAAGTATTCAGGGGAACCATCTCCAGTATATCGGATATTAGAAATCCAAGAAAAGTGAAACCATCAAGCTAACCGCATCCCAGACGACAGTCATAAACAAAAACAACATATCCACATCATATTTGCCGCTCTTATATGATCTTCGTGCTGCGAGTGATATGCAGTGTTCTCCAGTAATCGTTCTGTTGGACTGCTTTTGAGATCATCATCTCCTTTTTCTTCCTTGGCCACTTCTCCTTTCAGGTCGCGGGGCTCTTGAGACTTTGAATTTATTGATATTCTCGTGATTCTTTGCTCAAGCCGCATGAATCTTCACGAAATGTTTTTGTTCACCTTCGTAAAATAAGTAATGATCTAATAAAAATGTTTATTTTTTACCATCTGTGCAAGTGACAAAATTTCAATGAATACTTTTCTTGATTAATCTTTTAAATACCCTCCTAATCTCTTGAAGTCGCTTTAATTTGACTGCTCCTGACAGTTCTAACCTCATCAAGTCTTGTAGTCATTTATCATATGGCATGAAAGTTTTTCAGATATTCCATGGGTTAGCTTTGCTGAGTGATAACAAAGGATCAGGTTTCCCGGTTCGACTGGAGTTGACACGCGACCTACTGAACATCCAGGTTCCCATTGCGTTGGCCTCATTTACCAATACGCCGTTGCTGAGCACCGACAGGTGCGTAATCGTGAAAAGACATCCGGATGGTGGATTGGGCTTTTCAGTGAAGGTATAATCGAATTCGCGTTATGAAATATGTCTAAATAAAATTTCGTCAAACTGTTCCTGGCAGGGAGGAGAAAGTGGGGCGTGTAAAGTACCAGTTATGATATCTAAAGTTGCTGAAACCGAAACAGGTACGAGTAGCGATGCCGAGTGCTTAACTTCATTTCAAGAGCCATTGTTTTTAGCATACACGGATGGTCCCCTTTTCGTAGGAGATGTCATACTAGAGGTAAAAGACATCAGCCGTCCTCCCCCGAATCGCTGAGTCAAATATGTCGTTGCTTTCAGGTGAACGATACGAACGTGGAAGACAAAACGCACGACGAGGTGGTACAACTGCTGAAAGAGTGTGACCAGGAGGTGAAGTTGAAGGTGAAATTTCAAAGCGGGATGACCCATCTGTTACACAGAAGTACGACACTATTTTTATAGGCGATCTGGTGCAATGTATGAAAGAATGAAATAATATTGTTTGGCAAACAATCTCTGCAGCTTTTAGTTTAACCTTTGCGCATCAGTTTAGCAGTTCAGAGATGTTTTTCTTTTTCTATAGCATGAGAAGAATGGTGTGCTTCACGCAACACTGTCTGATGACGTCATCCCATTATGGTGCATTTTCTAAGGATACTATCGTTTTTGACCATTCTGTACTGTAAACCATAGCTCCACAGAAAACAGCTGCAATTTAGCGATCAATGACGTAGTAGTTCGATCTCCCTGTACTGCATGGACAATAAGTTCTCTTAGAAAATCAGTCGCTGCATAAGTCAAATTTTATGAAGAACTTGGAATCTAGGGGAAAAAATATTTGCAATGCGACTGCCAGCCGTTTGTTTTGATGAGGAGTCGGAAATAGGTAGAAATCTGTGATGTAAAGTTATGCGAGAGTCAAGTCGGCCGACCATGAAGATTACGGAGCTCAAGATTGAAAACTCGTATTATGCTAACGAGGTCGTTTGCCAACTGTCGCAGACAAGCGTTTATGTTTGTCAAAGCTAGCATACACCATGTTCTTGTTTCCTGTTCCAAGTTTCTATATGTGAGGTCAACAAACAAGGCCGCAAACTGGACATGGGACTGGACTGGACATCATTGGACATGAGATCTGTCCAACTGATTACAGGGTTGTTTTCGGGGCCTTCATGTACACTAAGTGGATGATTCCGTTATCCGTTATCAGACTTATCACTTATCCTAGTTCCGGGTCCACATTCTCTGTCGGCCATTTTCTGCCTCCGCCGCTGGCCAAGTAATCCAACCATCGAATCTTGCCGGTTTGATCGATTTGACCAAGTGGCTGAGTGGACGTCTGTGGTTCAGCAGAACCCAGTTTGGAATTATTGACGTGCACCGGCTGTCTTTCAGATGAGCCATAGGATGACATTTTCTTGTTCGACTGGCATTCTGGAAGACGAAAACCGCGTCTGTTGTTGAATTTGTACTCCTTGAGTGTGATCATGAAGGAGTCATTGTATATTCTTTGCTTCGTCACCTTTTTGCATGATCATCGGTCTCTTCTGCTCAGGTTTAATAGCAGACCTACATTCAACTGGGGTAGATTTTCGTATCCGGCAGAATGACTGAATCTAACAGTACCCTTTTCCCTCACCCGAACATCTTATCATGGAGTAGGGGTGTTTTACAACCTCAACGCTGGTGTATGCTGTCTTCCTTCTTCCGGTAATTTCCCCGCCTAGCTAGTTCTCGCGGTCTACCTGACGATGAATGAACGAATCAATCAATCAGTGAATCATGAGTCATTGAATAGATGCATTAATCAGTAAGAAAAAAACTCGATGAATCAGAGAATCAGTGCAAACAAGTTAATTAATTAATCAATAGAAATGAATGACAGTCGGTGAATGCATGAAAATTAATGAATGAATTGAATCAGCGGAAACGAATGACTTAAATGAATTAATGAAAACGAATCAATAAATAAATTAACAAGAAAGTGTATGAGTAAACTAATGTGTACGAAAATCAACGAATCAGTGAAGGAATGGAAAAGAATGAAAATAAATTATTCCAAATGACCGACTGTAAATGATTTTGTGACTATGAACGAATGAAAGTCACCTACGAACAAATTTGTGGACCAGAAGGGACTTGATTACAAAATCACTTTTCATTTGCTACAAAATCCGGTGATATAAAACCGCTTATTGCGATGCAGTGCTTCAACGTTAATTTCGACTATTTAAAATGTATTAGGAATGCAAACAGAGGCTTCAAAAGCCCTCATGACAGTTTTATTCCTTAACTAGGAATATTTCCTCGCCGAGATATGGACATCGCACGGTAACATGAAAACTTGTCATTGGTTCCAATTTTTATTTATGTTCATCCTCCAAGCTGATTTAAATTGTGAAGAATATTCACACTGTTACTCTAAAAATATTCTCTAATTGTTTTACTCATTCGAGCCTCACTGCACAGTCTCCTTGCCCATGGTTGCCTGGAGGCATTTTGGCCCTCCGTGGCTCAGTGGTATTTTATCAACTATGGTGCACACAGGTACATTGCATGGTCTTGTCGTCACCATGGGCGGTGAAGATGCAGTATCGCATATAA